GTTTCCCTGACTCAGTGTTGGAGGTTGATATGTTGCCCTTTTACAGTCGCATCTGCTCGATTGATCTTTCAGAGTTTTATTTAAGCAAGCTAAATTTTCATGGTTTGGCAGTTTTGAAATGAGCTTGCCTACCTACCTTTCCGCTGAATTACAAAAGGCGTTCAAGATACTGACTTCAATCATGCCTGTAATTATGATTGCAACTTTCATCTCTGAAAAATAGATGTTGGGAGTTATGTTGAGTTAAATGTGAGAAGGATGAGACAGCCAACCCTACGTCAGAAAGCAGGTTCACTGTCTTCATGTGTTGGTGCTTACTGACTAGATCCGGCTCTCCCCTTCAGCTGGAGCTGGGAAGACCCTGCCAGGAGGAAGTCCACAAGCAGGAAGTGGAGACCGTGGTGGTGGTGGAGTGGGGTGTAAGGGAAGTGGAAGGTTGGTAACGGGATTGAAAGCCTCCCAGAGTGGTGCCTTGGGTTCCTTCTGCAGACGACCTGGAGCCTGACACTCTTCACCCACAGCCCACACTTAGTTGACTTAGCATTGAAACGTTCCTGACCTTTATCCCCTAGGGATAAAGCTTTAGCTGAAGGTGGGATTAAGTTTCTAAATAGAATAACAAATGAGAACCTTAAACATTTCCATTTGTAATGGTTTGGGTGATCTTTTCCCAAAGGCTAGTTGAATTAGCTGTTAGCTCTCAACTCTTGACATGTATCGTCTTGTTGGTGTGAAGATGGCAAGGTGAGCAAGTTAGGCCTGCCAGAGATGGTCTTGGGTATTTAAAAAGTCTTTTTCTCTTGACAGCTTTTTCTATTGAAATTGATTCTTCTCCCAGGCAAGAATTGAGTTGGTATTTAAGACTGGCTCTTTTACCAGATTAGTAGTTTACACAGGAAGAAAGGAATCAAGTTAGAAAAGACATTACGATAGACAACTGAGAAGTGTCTTTGGAAAGTAGAAAGTCCACAGAGAATTTTACTTTGGTCAATTCTGTGTTTTCAAGTCATTCTGTATTTACAGCTGTTTTCAGGTTGTGAATTTATCAGGTTTATTTCATTTTTGCTTCCTTTTAATGGTTCAGTGCACTGACATAATTTGCAAACTCTTCCAAAGCATCTTAATCCTGAGGAAAAGTAAAACTAAAGATCTTAAATTGTCAGTTAACTGGTCACTCAGGAGGGATTTTTCAAATTCCTTAAAATGAAAATCCAGCACATTATTCTAGGGTTAGGTCCATTTCTTTGAAAGGATTGTTGTGAATGTTTTAATGATGTGTTTATAATAGCATTATGCTATTTCTGCCATTATAGTAATAATTTTTGCCCTTGCTTGTTGGGGCAATTATAACAACAGTGGCATTCAGTATTGCATTCTGCGTGATGTTTTTCTGGTTCGTTTCAAGAATTGTACCTTGGTTTTGATATATAACCTGTGTGTTAATTCTAATTCGAGCATCAGGGAATTTTCTTAAGGGTCTTCAGATAGGGGAGAAGTCCAGATCTGGAGCCAGCCCGGCAAACCTGAGTCCTCTCTGACCACAGGGTCAGTGAGGCTCCCCTGAGGTAATCTTGGACATCTTGGATGGTGCTCCCCTGAGCCAGGGCTCACTGCCCACACCCCAGCTCAGAAACCATGTGAACTGTATTGCAAGAATTCCTATTTTAAAAGTAATGAACGCTGGTTTTCCTGATACTTCTGACATACAATAGATGTACATATCTGTGGGGGACCGTGCAGTTTCCAGTACCCGAGTGCAAGATGCGATGATCAAGTTGGGCACTGCCATATCCCCTGCCTCGAAATACTCATCTTTGTTCTGTGTTATGAACATGCAAAGTCCTTTCTTCTAGCTATTTTGACATTTTTAATGAAAATAACCACACAGCATTGTAAACAACACCAAAACCCTTTTAAATGAGAAGGAATAGACCCTGCTTGTCCCTGCATGGGAGCAGTTCCAAACTCTGGTACAGAACCCTGGAACCTACCTCCATTTCTCTAATATGCAGGTGCATTTTGTATCAGCCTCTTGCCTGGTAGGGGTGGGTTTAGCTCACTTACACCACCGATTCCCCTTGCTCTGTCCTCCCCATAGAGTTATGCAACTGTTTGAGGTCTTTACTGGTTGCCTCAGCAGTTACAGAGGTTGTGCTTCCAGTGAGTTCTTGATGGCTTATGGATGTGCTTTTATCGGGTGAGGACCCCACTTTGCCATATTGGGGTATTAAGTGTCTTTTTTCTTCTATCTTTTCTCCTCCCCCTCAGGGGGGAGCTGGGGAGTGTTGTGATGAAATGTTTGTTTTTGGTGCCCAGGTTTCTAAGATTACAGCTACAGCTGTGTGGAAAATATGAAAAGAGACATTTTAATGGTACAGTGTACCCCAGAGAAGTCTCGATGGGTGGCAGCTGCCCCAGGAATGGGGTTAGGTGTTACTTTAATTGTGAGATCTTGCTGTGAATATTGGGGGGAGGGGGGTGTCACTGTAGCCAGCTCTGTTGTTTGTTTTCGTGGGCTTCTGTGTGCTTGTGTACTTTCTTGCCTGGTGGGGACAATTATATGCAGGGCCCAGTGTGGACTTGAGGCTGAGAGTTTGTGCATAGGGACAATTTTGTCCTTACCAGTCTAGAGCCACCATTGGAAGGTGACAGATCAGTCAGGCACCCTAGAGCGTGTTCATATACATTGCTGTGGGAGGGGGAAAAGTTACATTCTCCAGGTCTTCTAATGACAGTTTATGTAATAAAAGTTAGATAACCTCTCCTCTCTGGGTGCTGGGGGGTCTAGCCACACCCGGAACAACCACGAGCCATGTGTTGGCATCCTTTTTGTTGGTATATTGGGCCACCTTGCTCATATCTACTTGAATACCTCAAACACTACCTCCTTATTCAGTCATCTGAACTTTTTTTTTTTTTTTTTGGAGAGAGATTTTTTGATATAGGGCACATGTGCTTGCCAGAGAAAGAACGTGAGAAATCACCCCCCCTAGGGGAGGGGGATGGCTAAACCGCAATCCCTTCTCCTCTCAGGATTTTGGACACACACACCCCCAGCATGAGTTTTAAACCGCTAGGTCTGGGACTCGAATCAGAGTCAACTACATGGGAGTCTAATGACATAATAACCATTACATCATCTGCAGTCCTTCTGAACTTTTTTTATTTTGAAAGAGCTTTTTGTTTTGTTTTTGCTATAGGGTGTGTGTGCTCACCAGAGAGAGAAAGAAAGAAAGCAAGAAATCATCCCCTAAGGGGTGCCATAATCCCTTCTCCTCCACTCCCCCCTCAGGATTTTGAGCACATGCGCTTGCCATGCATGAATTTCAAGCCCCTGAGTCTGGGATGCAAACCGCAGGCGGGCGTGTGGGAGTCCATCCATGTAACCATTACACCATCTGCTGGCCCCAGTCAGCTATGAAACAAGGTATAAGTATTCTTTTAGTTTATATTTCCTCATTATTTATATTTCTGTTAGAGAATGTTTTATAAATTCTCAAGAAAATTAGATTAATAACTGATGAAAAGTGAATTATCAAAAGACAGAAATTGGGTTAAAATAGGGCTTTCCAGTGCTAGCAGGTGGCGTGGTGGTTAAGGTGCTGGATCTCACAAAGCTGACTCTGTGGTTCCAGTCCTGGACCTGGTAGCTTGAAAAACACACTGATCACATGTACGTGCCCAAACTCCTGAGAGAAGAATGGAGAAGGGATTACAGTGTGGCAATCCCCCCCAGAGGCTAATTTATCACGTTCCCTCTCTGTTTCTCTCTGTCCAGCGTATGCACGTGCCCTATATCAAAAGTAAGGGGACCAGCAGTTGCCATAATGGCTATGTCGCTGGATTCCCATGTAGTTGACCACGGTTCAAGTGTCAGACCCAGTGGCTTAAACTCGCCGGGCGCGTGTACGTGAGTGCCCAAGATTCCGAAAGGAGAATGGAGGAGAGGGGATTACGGCATGGCCATCCCCCCTGGGGGATGATTTCTTGCTTTCTGTTTCTCTGGCGAGCACACACCCTACAGCCAAAAAAAAAAAAAAAAAAAAAACCTAAGGAACTATTTTGTAATTGGAGCTGTTAGACTGGAACGTTTGTGCCAGCTGTCATGTGGCCTGGGAGTTAGAAAGCCCTGAAAGCAAGAGCCCATCTTCGTGTTGGTCAGGGCCATCCTGCCATCTAGTCCTGGCCTGAGTCCTTCCCCCTTATTGGGGAAGTTGTTTATTCAGACAACTCAGTTCATTTTGTAATCCCCGCTCGAGTGTCCTATAGAATAACGTCATCAGTGATCTTCTAAAATGTAATGAGCAGAAAGGTGAGCATGTCCCCTAAATGGCCAACTGCTTTTCGCCTGTGGAGAATGTCACTTCTCCCACTGGGTTTTGATTTCATAAAAGCAGTTTTCCTGGGTAAATGTTTCTGGGATGGGACATTTAAGCCAAGATGTGGCAAGTTGTAGAGGCTGGCCAGGGCAGAATGGCCAGGCAGAAGGAACAGCAGGGCCATGGCTGTTAAAGCCTAGCGTGGCTGGAGTCTTTGTGTGTACAGTGAAGGGACACACCACTTGTCTCTCTGAGTCTAACGGCTTACTGTTAGACCCTCGGTGCTATTTCTCCTGACCACAGACCTCATGGACCTTTAGAACTCTAGCATGGCTATAATTGTTATCTGTCTTCCCATTCTCTACTAAGTAGCATCATCAATGAAGATGTTAGAGAGAAAGAGAAGCTTTTTCATTTTCTGTCTGAACCACTGAATATGCTATTTAGAAACATGCTTCATCTAGAAGGGATTTTCCTGGAGGGAAGGCAGAATCTCTGTACCCCTTGGGCCTGCCCTTCAAAGTTAAGTAGAGAGTTCCAGCTGAGTTGTCTTAGGTGAATGGGAGCACCTGAGAACAAAACAAAAAGGTGAGCAGTTTGTAGGGGACATTTTAATTACAGTCCCCTCATAGCTTTTGTTGTCCCTTTGAGACACTAACGCTCTTATCTGTTTTTGCAGCGGCCTGCAGTATTCCAAACAGGGACCCGTGGTTTCCATTTCACTATTGATGGGGATAAGAGGGCATCTGCTAAAGTTTCAGATTCAGTAAGTTCGCAGCTTTTTGTTCCATTAAGATGATTGTCTTGGCTTAGAAAGGTAATGATCTATATTGGATTGTCTTATTATATTTGAGCGTTACACACATTTAAAGGGTAAAATTCTCAGCGTGGGCTTGGAACTGTGGTGCACCTCAGTGTCAGAGGGTCCTGCCGGACATGCTCATGTAAAAGTCTGTTTCTTCCAGTCTCTCCATCGCAGTAGAGGGGCACTGCGCCACGTGAAAGCTCAGGTCTATACTAGCCATATGTGCATGGGTACAGACAGGAAGAGAAGAGATGAACAAGAACGACCCTGGAAAGAAAGCCCACACTCAGCACTGACAGTCCAACTTGGGTTGGTGCTTCCCTTTGCTGCTTTGGCTCCCTACTTGGTTAACAGGATTGACCATTAAGACCCAGAAATACACTTTTCAGATATAAGATTCTAGCATTTCTGGCTGGTGAGCAACCCCTCTGTCGTCACAATATCTGACTGTCGAGCCTTCTCCCTGTGAAGGTGTTCCCACTGTGCCTGAACACAGTGTGCAGGGCAGCTGCGCTCTCCTCCAGGCTCTTCCTGTAAAACCACAGGCTCAGCGTTTGCCTTAGTCAGACACATGATTGACGGGTGGCTTTTTATCTTCCAGATTTCTGCTCAGTATCCAGTCGTGGATCATGAATTTGACGCAGTGGTGGTAGGCGCTGGAGGGGCAGGCTTGCGAGCTGCGTTTGGGCTCTCAGAGGCAGGGTTTAACACGGCGTGTGTCACAAAGCTCTTCCCCACCAGGTCACACACTGTTGCTGCACAGGTAGGATGAAGGTCCCCTGGATGCTCTCAGCACTGTGGGGTCCTGCACTGTCCCACTCTTCCTTAGCAAACTTCTCCCCATTCCCCAGCCACATGCCTTCTTCCTGCATCATACTCACTGAGCTCACTCTCATTCCGGGGTTTCCTGTCTGGGGACCTTGCAGGACCAGCTCCTTGTTACCACTCCTGACTGGGCCCCAGCACACCTGGGTGTGCTGACCACCTACTAGCAGGGTAGTGTACTTTGTTCCCAGCTGTCCGCCTTGAACTGCCTCACTGCGCCAGCCTCCCTCCCCCCTCAGTGCTCAAGACGCCTTACTGTCTCTGCTAAGGAAAGCCAGTCCTCAGGGCGAGTAACTGCAGAGTGACTGGCTGTTCTGAGCCTTGTCCTGGAGAGGAGATTGCCAGAGAAGCAACTGGGGCTCCCATTTGAAGCTTGTAAGGAGTGCTTGGTGTTTCCAGGGAGGAATCAATGCTGCCCTGGGGAACGTGGAAGAGGACAACTGGAGGTGGCATTTCTACGACACTGTGAAAGGCTCTGACTGGCTAGGAGACCAGGATGCCATCCATTACATGACAGAGCAGGCTCCCGCCTCTGTGGTTGAGGTAAGATGGCGAGCTCTTGGGTCTTCACCATACTCACTCAGCTCATGGTCTAATTCTGGTGTAAGAATAGGCCTAGAAAAAGCTTGAGAGACACAAGCAGCCATGGTCAGCCAAGAGAATGATAATGAGCAGAGCTGATCATGGACATCTTTTCTATGACCATCTGTTCAGTGTATTTTTAAAACTTTGTTGTAGGATGCATGTACTCTCTGGAGAGAAAGAATGAGAAACTACCCACCAGTGGGGATGGCCACACGGCAGTCTCCTCTCTTCCATGCTCCTCTCGGGATTTTGAGTTTGCATACACATGCACCCAGTCAGGGATGAACTATAGTCAGCCATGGTGTATAGCCACCTCATCTACTACGCTCCCTGGCTGGCACTATTCAGTGCATATAATAAGGAAACTTACCTGAAACACTGACATTTTCTGGAATGTGTTGTGTCTGGCTTTGCAGGTTTGTGTTAAAGTTTAGTGTAAAGTAGCTGCAAGTATTTCAACTCCCTGAAAGTAATAAGTTTTTGTTATTTTTAATTTTCACAGCTAGAAAATTACGGCATGCCATTTAGCAGAACTGAAGATGGGAAGATTTACCAGCGTGCATTTGGTGGACAAAGCCTCAAGTTTGGGAAAGGCGGGCAGGCCCATCGCTGCTGCTGTGTGGCTGATCGGACCGGCCACTCACTGTTGCACACTTTGTATGGAAGGGTGAGGCCACCTTGGGTGCATATCAGGTGGGACACAGTCTGGTCAGGCGAGGCTGTGGCAATGGAGACTGGAGTGGCTTACGAAGAAGCAGAGAATAATTCCATAAGACACACGTGGAAATTGTGCATTTGAAATACACAGAGGCTATGAAAAGCTATCTTTAAGGCAGTGTGTTATTCTTTGTATATTTCAGAAAATTGAGTTGATCATACGTACAAGATTTGAACGTGTGATCTGCCACTCAAAGTATAAAAACAGTGCATAGCAAGTTCACAAACACCTCAGTTCACAAACTGATTAATCTGTTTTAATACTTAACTGTTTTTTTGTTTGTTTGTTTTTTGAGAGGTTTTTGCTGTAGGGCGAGTGTGCTCGCCAGAAAGACAGACAGAGAGACAGAAAGCAAGAAATCACTCCCCAGGGGGGGATGGCCACACCGCAATCCCTTCTCCTCCATTCTTCTCTTGGGATCTTGGGCATGCACACACACGCGCCCTGCGTGAGTTTAAGCCACTGAGTCCGGGACGCAAACCACATTTGACTACATGAGAGTCCAGCAACATAGCCATTACGCCAACTGCTGGTCCCAATACTTAACTGTTAAAACTGGATGAAGCCAGGGGCCAGCAGATGACGGGTGGTTAAGGTATTGGGCTTCCATATGGCCAGCTGCAGTTTGAGTCCCAGGCCCAGAAGTTTGAAAAATCATGCCAGCTATGTGTGTGCATGTGCCTAACATCCCAAGAGGAGAGTGGAGGAGAAGGAATTTTGACATGGCCATCTCCCCTGGGGGTGATTTTTTCACTTTTCTTTTCTCTGTCTCCCGCTCTTTCTCTTTCTGGCAACCATACATGCCCTATGATAAGTGGAAAAATAAAAGAAAAAAAATGAAAAATATTAGATGAAGCCTGGAGGAGCTATAGTCACTGTCAGTCAGCATAGCCAAATAATATTCTCAGCCGAATTGGTGGAGGTCGTTATACACAGGGTTAGGACACTAGCAGTTGCCCTGTGACTGCGTGTGTGACTACGAGTGTGCCTGGACCTTTGTGTCTCAGGAGTTGTCATGGGGAGCTGGCCCAGGCTCGTGAGAGCTGCTCACATAGGCACCGTGTCCAGGCTGGCAGTGCTGTGCCTGTGCCGTCTCTGCGGTGGGGAAATGTGCTTCTCTGCACTGTCCACGTGGCAGCACCAGGTACTCTGGCCATGGCAAATGTGGCTGGTGTAACTGAGGAGCTAAAAGTTTGTGCTTCATTTCAATGAAGTGGCCATGTGTAGCCAGCAGCCACACCCTGGACATTGACCTCATGGTCTGTGGCTTTACTCTGGTGCCAGGCTCTGAGAGGGTTTAGTGCAGCCACCGGAGAGCCAGGAGTGGGAGTCGGTGCACCAGCTATTCGGAGCTGTGGCTCTTCTCTGGGGTGGCTGACCTGTGTCTGAGGCTCCCTCTGCTGCCCCACGTGTAGAATGCCTTTCCTGCCCGCAGTGTGTTATTGGCACTGTTGGAGGTGTGACTTCATATGCTACCTAGACCGAGTTGAGTTCTTTACTCTGTTCACAGGAGCTCTCACTTCACGTGTTGGCTTATCACCTACCCGGTGCCACTTAGAATGTGGGGTCTTCTCTTTGTAGTCTCTGCGCTATGACACCAGCTACTTCGTGGAGTATTTTGCCTTGGATCTCCTGATGGAGAATGGGGAGTGCCGTGGCGTTATCGCACTCTGCATAGAAGATGGGTCCATACACCGCATAAGAGCGAAGAATACTGTTATTGCTACTGGGTAGGAACCTAACTCTTATCATATTTCATGTCTCTATAAAAATTAAGACATTTTTATTCAGAATTTTTTTACTCTGATGCAGATTCAGGCAATGGTAGAACCTTGTGGGGGTGATCTTCTTTCCCAGCTTTGATTCTCCATCTGGGGAGGAGACAGCAGTCACACTTGCCTTGGAGGTGGGCAGGAGTGTGGTGTGAGCTTGACGCCCCTGAGGGCCATGCAGCTCACTCTTCCTGACTGCCGGTTACCGCAGCTTTAAAGAGTCACATGGCATTTTCTGGAATAACTTCTTTTGTTTTTGTGAATACTGTGTTCATGCTGATTCTTGGAATAGATACGTGCTACTTGCTCACATGAGAATAAGTAATCTTATTTTATACAGTCTGTTATGTATCCATTCTCTTTAGCTCCTATACAGCTAAAGAAACAGGAAAATAATAGATGGGGAGATAGTACCTGCCAACCATATATCCAATAAGGCACTAATAACCAACACACTTAAGGGACTCACGACTTCCTAGTGAAGACAAATGCCCATTCAGAATGGGCAAGGACTTAGACGTTTTTTTCAAAGGCATACAGATGGGCAGCAGGTATGTGGTGAGGTGCTCAGCATCACTGCTGAGGGAAAGGCAGATGGAAACCACAGTGAGCTGTCCCCTCTCACCTGCAAGGATGGAGAAAGAAGACCCTGTACCTTGTTGGTGGGAATGCAGGCTGGCATAGCTGTTGCAGAAAACAGTAGAGCAGTTCCTCAAAAAATTAAGCCAGAACTGCCTTATGACCCAGCAGTCCCATGTTTTGGTGTATGTACAGAAGGAAGGAACTCGGTAGCCTCGGTAGCTCAGAGATAGCCTCACCCTGTGTTCATTGTAGAGTTGTTTGTCGTAGCCAGACATGAGAGCAGCCTACGGGTTTGCCGGTGGATTTAGAACACATAATAAACAGATTCTGGATTGTGACTCAGCCAAAATGGAGGAAATCCTATCATGTGTAATAACACTGGTATACTCCCATGACATTACACCAAGTGAAATAAGCCAGGCTCGGGAAGTACTGCATGACCTCATATGTGCACTCCTTAAAAAGTCACACCCAGAGAAACAATATCAAGGCTGGTTGTCAGGAGCTGGGAGGGTGCAGGTTGTGGAGCTGGTCAGAGATACAGCTAGTAGTTGTATCTAGATGAGTAAGTTCTAGAGATGTAATGTGTGACAGTGTGGTGGCTATCAGCAATAACGTAGATATGAATGACATTTCTGAAAGTGGATCTTTGGTGCCTACTGCACAAAGTCGTTCATTCTGTGAGGTGTTGTACTAGCTTACTGTGCATTTGATTCTCAATGTGTGCGTGGGTCAAATCATCACGCCGCATACCCTAAGTGTGTGTAGTTTCTTTTGGTCAACTATGCTTGATAAGCTGACAAAGAAGAACAGGAAAGTAGAGAAAAATGGGCCCGGCCACAGCACTGCATGTGGGCACTGCCACTGGGGAGGCCAAGTCTGCGTGGATGGCCCAGGTTCAAGTGCCAGCACTCCCTGAACGGCCATCATGGTGGCAGCACGGAAGGCCCCAAGTACTTTGGAGGCTGAGGCAAGAGGGTCGTGAGAGTGAGACCTAGACAACCCACACACGCACACATACACAAAAAACAATAGAGAAAATACTGAATTCATAGACATGCTAGAATTTTTATGATAAAAGTCATGTATACTTATCAGGGAACTTGTTCAGCCTACACAGAGTACTAAAACACAATTACATGTCCCTTCTCTGTTCCCCAGGCTCCCATCTCTTTGCCTGAGGTAGCAATACTACAAACATGGCCCCAGTATTTTGTATATGTGGACACAGGTGTGTGTTTTGGGTATACACGCACATAGAAATGGCGTCCGGAAGGTGGTGTCCTAGGGCCGCTTGTCTAGGTGTTGTGGCTGCTGTGTGCAGTCCCTGCTCTCTCATTTCCAGAGGCTATGGACGCACCTACTTCAGCTGCACATCCGCCCACACCAGTACTGGTGATGGCACCGCCATGGTCACCAGGGCTGGCCTTCCCTGCCAGGACTTGGAATTCGTGCAGTTCCACCCTACAGGTAGGTTGCCGTGCCCTGGCTGGCACTGGGCTCCTATGTCTTGCAGTCACTCCCTCTCGAGTTCGCCTCTGCTTTCATGGACTACCATGCCTAAGATTCTCTACTAAGTTTTTCTACTCAGGTGCAAACTTAAATGTCACATCCTCAAGGAGATTGTTTTTCCTGCTTCTCCCCCCAAAAGTGCCATTCACATCATACATACTCTCTAAGGAGCCCAAACCTTGCCTTAGCGGTGCTTACCCAGGAGTGAGACAGTGCTTCAGTGTCCCTCTCCCCGTGAGGCCTAGGCCCCTTGGGGGCATATTCTAGCTCAGTGTCCAGCATATGGCAGAACCTCAGTCAGTATTTACTGACAGTGAGCACCCTGGGAGTTAGGGAAATGAATTTGACCAGAGAAGGCATAGGTAGGTTTCAGTTTTGTAGGGAGAGCATCAGGCTTCTGTTGTAACAGGGCGAGCTGTGATGGGAACCCGTGTGCCATTGGGACATGAAGCTCAGCCCATCTGGTGAGGGGAAAGGCCATCATGGGATGTCAGGTGGTCGAGGAGGAGTGGGAGTTGGAGACAGCACAGGGTGACAGCTGGGGCCCCAGGTGTGGGGGCCGTTGCCTAGAAGTGAGAGAGGGGTGTACACGTGCAGATCTGCCTCTGCCTGAGGTGTCTCTTGTCTGGGACTCAAGGGTAGCTTTTGTGTCCTCAAGACTGAGGAGATGCAAGGGTGGCAGCAGCCACCATCACACTGAGACCTGTTTTCTCTTTGTCGGCAAAGTCTTGTGATCCCTGGCAGGGGGGAAATATTTTTCTGTGCAAAAATACATCATGACTTTTCTGACAGCCCAATAGAAAATACATTCATTGTTTTTTTATTACTACATAAATAATTTCTTTAAATTTTGCTGCATGGTATATGAACTCACTGGAAAAAGACAAGGTAGGGAAGAAAGTGAGAAAGTACCACTCAGGGTAGCCATGCTGCAGTCCTCTTTTTTTTTTTTTTTTTTTTTTTGGGGTGGGGGGTTTTTCTTGCTATAGGGTGCATGCACTCACCAGAGAGACAGACAGAAAGCGAGAAATCACCCCCCAGGGGGGATGGCCATGCCGCAATCCTTTCTCCATTCTCCTCTCAGGATCTTGGGCATGCACGCACATGCGCCCAGCGTGAGTTTTAAGCCACCAGGTCCAGGACGCAAGCCACAATTGACTACATGGGAGTCCAGCAACATAGCCATTACACTAACTGCTGATCCCTGCAGTCCTTTTTCCTTCATTCTCCTCTTGGGTTTTTGGGCAGACATGCCCAATGTATATTTCAAGCCACTAGATCTAGAACCCAAACTGTGCTGTTGGACATGTGGGATCCAGCCACATTAACTACCTCACCACTGGCTGACCTATGTATGAATTATTCTTTCATGTTGTTTTATATTATATTTATACATACATATATATAAGGGAAAGTGAGAAATCACCCCCAACCCCAGGTTGATGGCCAGGCTATAATCCCTTTTCCAGTCTCTTAGAATTTTGGGCACCCATGCACACACACCTGGCGTGATTTTCAAGCTACCAGGTCTGGGACTCAAACCTAGGTGGGCCATGTGAAACTTCGGCACCCCAACTGCTATGCCACCTGCTGACCTCCATATATTTTATTGTTAAGTTTTGCTATAGGGTGTGTGCGCTTGCTGGATTGCAGAGAGTGAGAGAAAAGGTGAGAAATCACCCCCAGGGGATGGTCACACCACAATTTAGTCTCCTCTGGGGGTGTTGGGCATGTACACACATGTTCCTGGTGTGCTTTCCAATTTGCTGGGTCCAGGACTTGAACTACAGCTTTGCTTATATGGGATCAAATGCCTTAACCTCCATGCCACCTGCTGGCCCCCTATACTGTTCTTATCCAATAAAGAATTACTGTGTTTCTGAATTCCCTCGTAATTATTCAGAGCACCATTCCTTATACTTCCCTGCTATGTATAGAGAAACTACATCCAAAAAGTCATCGAAACTAGGAAAAGTGATAGAAATGTAAGAATTGCATTTTTGTGGGCTTGCCCTGTAGCCTCTTGGTTAAGGGAGCCAGATCCCACACGGTCCACCATGATTCAAGTCCTGGTCCCAGCAGCTGGAAAAACGTTTTGGGTACATGGACACATTTGATCAAAATCCCAGCTATATGTAAGAGCGGGGGAGGAAGGATTATGGTGTGCTTTCTTCTCTGGTGATAAAACACACTCTTGACAGTTAAAAAAGAAAATGCATTCACAAGGTAACCTTTTTGGTGTGCTAATGAAAATGCTAGCTTTCAAGTTGCGTTGTTATTTTTGGTCTCCTTTGTTTAATCCAAGACTTTGGTGTTCATCTTTTTTTTATATTGAGGGACTCAGAATCAAATTAAGATCAGACTCCATCACATTTTCCCAGGTTTGAACTTGGGCTCTGCCTTTCCCAGCTATGACCAGATATTTATTGAACTAGAGCTCACCTTTCTCCAAGAATGAGGAAGTGTTACCAGGCCATTGCAGAATTGCAGTTAATGTAGGCAAAGCAGCTAGAACTGCCCCCAGTATAGTGTAACAGTAATGGTTACTGTACTGGTTCTTCAGATAGACATTCTTAAACGGTCCCCACAGTGTTACAAGACACCATTGAAAAGTGAGACCTAGACAGGTAACATTTGCCGGGCACTGCTGCTCAGCCAGCTGAGGCCACACAGGAGGCCTGGCCTGACACCCCAGAAAGCCCAATGTAATGGGGCACATCTGTGGTCCTGCCTTTCTGGGGGCTGAGACAGGAGGATCACAACACAGCAATAGCTTGTCTTTTCTTGTCCGTCTCTCTCTCTCTCACACAATCCTTATTTTAAGATCTCTAACATACACTTGTGATCAGCACTGGGCGAAGTTGTCCGTGGGTGAGTATAATGCCCGTTGCCTACCCCTCCCTCTTCCTCCCCCTCTTCCTCAAAAAAAAGTCTTTAAAGAAATACTCTGTGCATCAGGAGAAGAGGCGGGGCTGTCCTTGGTTCTCAGGACTTGGACGCTGGTCTCTTGCAGGCATCTACGGTGCTGGCTGCCTCATCACAGAAGGGTGCCGGGGAGAGGGAGGCATCCTCATCAACAGCCAGGGCGAGAGGTTCATGGAGCGCTATGCCCCCGTCGCCAAGGACCTGGCATCCCGAGACGTCGTGTCTCGGTCCATGACTCTGGAAATCCGTGAAGGAAGGTCCGTGCAGTTTCCTCAGAGAGGCCTGAGTGGGCTCACATGGGTTGTGGCCTCGTGCCACCATGGGCATGTGCAGGTCGGGTTCGCGCATATCAGAAGCTCATGTGGGCCTGGGCTCACGTGACCGTCTCTTCCTTTGTGGCTGCGTAGGTGGTGGCTCTTCACAGCAGCTCAGGGTCCGGTCAGGCGCCGTGTCCAAGTTCAGTTCGCTGCCCACCTCGGTCAGCACAGCCCCTGTACCTGCTGGCTGTCAGCTGCATGTGTGCAATGGTTTCATAAAGACTCACATTTTAAAAACTTTAGCCAGTTTAATGCAAATCTTGAACCTGCGGAGCATAATTTGTGTGTGTGTGTGTGTGTGTGTGTGTGTGTGTGTGTGTGTGTGTGATAGAGAGGGGAGGGAGACACACCCCACCTGAAGTCAGGTTGAGGCCACAGTTGTCGCAGCAGCTGTCTGTGTCTTACCTTTCAGTGAAGTAGCCTGAGACTTTACTGTTGCCTGAAGTGCCCTTCAATGTAGTGATACTTACCTGCTTTTAGAGGGTTTACGTTCTAATATAAAAGTTGAGAAGTCAAAATAGTTTGAGAATCTGACATAGGTAACTTTCTGATATACTTACAAAGGAAAATAGAGTGAATCATGGTTTCCAAGACAGGACCATGGAGGCTGTGAGGGTTTGGGGTGGGTGAGACATGGCGTAGGCGTGTTTGGGCCGGGACTGCCCTGTTTTCAGCTGCGTCCCAGCGCGTGGTACACATTTATGAAAGAGCTGGTGAACACATGGTCCTAGATGCATTTTCTTCGTCATGATCAGAGTTGTAGCTCATGTGCTTCAGTGCTCTCATAATATTAGGCTGGCTCTGGCTCTGGCTCTTCACTCATTACGCACTGTTCTGTTTTACCAGAGGCTGTGGCCCTGAGAAAGATCACGTCTACCTGCAGCTGCACCACCTACCCCCAGAGCAGCTGGCCACACGGCTGCCTGGCATCTCTGAGACAGCCATGATCTTTGCTGGCGTGGACGTAACCAAGGAGCCAATCCCCGTCCTCCCCACTGTGCATTATAACATGGGTGGCATTCCCACAAACTACAAGGGGCAGGTGACAGCAAGGGTCCTCACCCATAATGAGTAGGGTGGGGTCGATGGGCCTGCTGCAGTCAGCCCTCCAGATCTGAGAGGAGAAGACACACGTCTCCTCCCGATAAGCCCTGTGCCACTGGGTAAATCAAGTGCACTTTAAGCTGCTCTTCCTGAGGCAGAGGGAGGCCTCTGCTGTCCTGGCTGTGTTCTCACACCTCGATAACTGTTCAAGTTATTCATTCTTTTCTCCTCAGTAAATAGTCTCAGGTACAGTATCCGCAGGTCTGCCCGTTTCACGATCACTCTTCTATGTGATCTTATGCTGTTTTAAGTGACCTCGTCCCTCCGGTGTGATCCTGTGAGCCGTCAGGGTCTGTGGTTCAGGAACCGGTCAGGCAGCCCGTTTGCCATCCTCGTTGGCAGGGGTGGGAGTTGTTCCTCTCCCTTCTTAGGTGAGCCGTGAGTGGGATCTGAAATCCCACTCTGCCCTCTCCCTGTGTAATGTCCTGCTGCCTGCTGGCTCTGCCTGGTCTGAGCCAGGGTTGCCGAGCCAGAGACAGTGGTCACCTCTGAGGCAGTAGCAGAGTCCTCAGGAATGTGCAGTGTGGGAGCAGAGTGACGGATGCTGACATTGGGGGTTCTATGGCCTTTCTCTGGCCTCGCAGTAGGGAGTGCTGAGGGGCAGACTGGGAGTCCGGGGGCCCCTCTTCAAGGACACAGGACAGATACCCTGTTTGGGGGGATTGGGCCTATTGAGATGTGGATACCTGACATTTCATCTGAAATCTCCCTGCAGGTTCTGAAGCACGTCAGTGGCCAGGACCAGGTCGTGCCTGGTCTGTATGCCTGTGGAGAGGCAGCCTGCGCCTCTGTGCATGGCGCCAACAGGCTTGGGGCAAACTCACTCTTGGACCTGGTCGTCTTTGGGCGAGCATGTGCCCTGAGCATAGCAGAGTCCTGCAGGCCTGGTACGTGTGCTCTTCCAGTCGCCAGGCTGCATCAGAAGGCAGGAGGTTACAGAGTTGATCTGTTACTTGAGGTGCTTAGTGCTCATATGGAGGCAGTCTTGTTTTTGTTTTTTTTTCCTCTCGCTAAAAGTGACAAAACAGAAATCCAGAGAGTATATGATAGTAATGTTGGGACTAGACACAGGCCAGGCGGGGCTGACAGTTAAGAAGGAAAGTTTAGCTTTTTTTGGCAGAGTTTCTTTTTGCACTCAATATGTTCTGCTTGAAAAATTTAGTATAAGGACACTTTTGTATTTTTATTTTTGCTTCAGGGCACATGCTCTTATCAGAGAGAGAGACTGAGAAATCCACGTCTGAGGGGATGGCCACTTCTTGTTCTCCATTCTCTTCTTGGGATTCTGGGCACTTATGCACATGTGCCTGGTGTGACTCTCAAGCTGCCAGGTTCAGGACTTAACCCCTGAAGCTGGCCATGTGGGATCCAGCACCTGACCACCGCACCATCTGCTGGCCCCAAGGACGTTGTGTTCTTTTGTTTGTTTTGAGAGATTTTTGCTACAGGGCACATGCGCTTACCAGAGAGAAAGTGAGAAATCACCCTCCACAGAAGATGGCCACACCACAATCCCTTCTCTTCCATTCTCAGGATTTGGGGCACACATGCACATGTACCCAACATGAGATTTTTAAGCCTCTAGGTCCAAAACTTGAACTGTGGTTGAGTACATGGGAGTCCAGTGATGTAACCTTTATGCCATCTCCTGGTCCCAAGGACATTGTTTTTTGAATGAAACTTTCTACATGTTGCTTGCTTGATATATATATCACTAATTTGCAGTGAAATGTGTTAAACTGTAGACAGATCAATGTATAACTTAACTTAGGCATTTTAAAAGTCATAATACTTCTTTATTAAAAAAAAAAAAAAAAGATGATTCAGAGCAAACGACACAAAGCACTGGGTCCTGGCTCCCACCTACAGTGAAAGGGTGGCCTGCAGCAGGGTGTGTAGTGGCTTAGGGCACAGTGTAGAAGAGCACCATGTGCTGGGACACGTGTCCACCTGTATACACCAAGGACAGGGCAGGTTCTGTGCTCTGGCTTCCAGAGGGTCTTCACTGTGGTTCTCCAGCCTCTTTGTCCCGAAACAGTGATGCAGGGTGGACAGGGTGCAAGGGAACATTCTGTGGCAGGGCTGTTGGGGCCTCTGGGCCCACACCCTTCCCAGATGTCGCTGGACTAACTGTAGTATAAGTCTGCTATTTCCATAGAACAGATGCTTTGTATGGATTGAAGTGATGCAGTGGAAACCAGCTCTGTCCTCCACCCAAAAACACCACTGTAACTGTGACAGAAAGTGCAGGAACTCCGTCAGACTCCCTAGACCTGATGGCAGCTCGGGACACGTGTGTGGACATGGCACATGCGTGCTGTGACCTGCCACTCATCAGCTGTGGAGGCAGGGTGTAGGCCCCTCATCCCTGCCCCAGACTGTGCTCACTTCACTCGGGAACCCTGACGTCATTGGTTGTAGTGAAGACAAACAGCACTTTTCAGACCAAAGCAGAAAATTTGAGATTCCTTGTCTTTGAGAATGAGGAAAAGTTTTGTAAGAATACCTTGGGCTTTTACATCTGAGGAGTCCACTAACATTTAAGAGAGTTTTAAACTTAGCAGTAAGAGGAGTATGTTGCCACAGGTCCCAGATTCATAGGACGACTCTGTGTGACTCTGTGTGTCGCATTGGAAAGGGCAAGCGAGGGAGGAGGCCCGGTGGTGTCTCAGAGGCCGCGTCCCAATAGAAAAGCCCTCCTCCAAGAATGACACGGCACCGTGTTTTATTTGTCTTTTGTTAAGAATGAAAAAAGTTTTCCTTGACACAAATTTATTAAACATTGAAAAAGTTTAACTCCTGATCTCTATCCTTACTGTGGTAGCAGTTATGGAAATCTGTATGTCTTAAAATTTGCAAAACTGTCTATTGAAAAAAGTTAGTTTTGCTGAATGGTCATTTCCTAGAGCACTCAAAACAAAGGGAAAGCAGTAGCCAAGAAGCGCCCTGCCTCAGGAGCAGCCAGGATAGCCCGTCTCCTGCTCGGACTGCCCATTGAAGGGGATGCTCCAAAATATATCCCCCCAAAATAAATAAAACCTTGGAAAACATCCTAGAAACACTTTAGGAAGGTAAGAGCTGCAGACTTTGAGGTGCAGATGCAAGCACACAGGTTGAACCTGGCAGGTGACTGACAGCGAGCCTTCCCTGTCCTGTATAAGGACAGCAGTTGTGGTTGGCCCTGGGAAGAGGTCACAGAGTGCTGAAAATCGCGATCTGGAGGGTGTCATTTTTTCCTTGTTTGAGTAGCAGTACAAGGTCTATTTGTGTCAGCCTCATGTTAAAGATGTTTTCTATTTTGTTAATTGAAAGTTTACCTTCTGGCCACCCCTGGTGTGTCTACGTAGTTCTTTAAAAATCAGCCCAGGGGCCAGCAAGTAGCGTCATGGTTAAGGTGTTGGACTCCCCACATGATCGACCATTGTTCAAGTCCTAGACCTGGTGGCTTGAAAGTCACGCCAGGCACACCCCCATGTGTGCCCAAAATTGTGAGAGAATAAAGGAGAGGGGATTGTGGCATGGCTATCCCCTGGAGGGTGATTTCTCACTTTGCCTCAGTCTCTATCTCCCCAGCGAGTGCACACACGCTACAGCAAAAAATCCAAAAAAATATAAATTGGTCCTGTCTGTAGGTGGCTCCTCAGGGCAAGGCTGCGCCAGCCACAGTAGCCCCTGAGTGGCTGTGAGGCGCTATAATTCAAGGTCCATTGACTTTTCAAGAGTTAATTGTCTCTCTCTTTTTTGTTTTAAGGAGATAAAGTTCCTCCAATTAAACCAAATGCTGGGGAGGAGTCTGTCATGAATCTTGACAAGTTGAGATTTGCTGACGGAAGCACCAGAACCTCAGAACTGCGACTCAGCATGCAGAAGGTGAGGCCTGGGCTCACTCGGGAGGGAGCGGCTGCTGGCTCCGGGGACAGCACATCACTCACTGCCACCAAGAAGCAGAAGAGCCAGGAGGCCCGAGCTAGACGAGTACATGTCTCCTACCAGTGGGCTGTCCTGGGCAGATGGCAGGAGGAGGAGGAGCGGGGGGTGGCAGGGAAGCTTGCTACAGCAGGCAGCTTCTTTTTAGTAGTCCTCCTGGGAGTCTGGTACGACACGTGTGTGTACATCTTGTTGCAGAGGTCAACGTCGTCATTTCTGACCTCGAGAGGGCTTTGCTAGAGAGCACGTGGCTTGCCAGAGAGACAGAGATAGAAAGCGAGAGATCACACCACACCCCTCGGGGAGGATGACCACACCACAGTCCCTTCTCCATTCTCCTCTTGGGATTTTGGTCTCACATGCACACGCATGCACCCAGCATGAGTTTTAAGCCGCTGTGTCCAGGACTCAAATCGCAATCGACTATGTGGGAGTACAGTGACGTAACCTTACACCATCTGCTGGTCCCTGAAGTATTTTAAAAATGGGCTTCTTGCTACCCCAAAATAAAATCAGGGAGACCGGGAGAGTGGACGGTAGTGGGAGACGAGTCTGAGCAGTGATTCGTGTCAATAGGTCAGCACTGTCTGCTGGACCTTTTTTTTTTTTTTTTTTTTTTTTTTTGCTGTAGAGCATGTGCCCTCGCTAGACAGATAGAGACAGAAAGCAAGAAGTCACCCCCCAGCAGGGATGGCCACGCCGCAATCCCTTCTCCTCCATTCTCCTCTTGGGATCTTGGGCACGCACTCACATGGTCCCGGCGTGAGTTTTAAACCACCAGGTCTGGGACGCAAACCGTGGTTGACTACGTGGGAGTCCAACGACATAGCCATTACGCTAACTGATGAGACCCTCTGTTCTGATGGACGTGCTCTGTGTCCAGCCTGCCAGCAGCTAGCCACAGATGTAAAATTTTAATTTTCTTTCATTTCAATTTTAACATAAATAGCTACGTGTGGTTAGTGGCTATTATATTAGATAACACATGTTTTGATTAATAAAAATTTAAGAAATAGGGAACTTTAATTTTTTGCCATAGGATACATGCGCTCACCAGAGAGAATGAGAGGGAAAGTGAGAGATCACTGCCCACAGTGGGGTGGCCATGGCTCAGTCTCCTCTCCTTCACTCTCGGGGTTGGGGATGCACACGTGCGCGCAGTGTGGTTTTCAAGCCTCTTGGTCCTGGACCCAACCACACAGGTGCCGTGTAGGGGATCTAGCCGCCTACACCACCATGCCACCGCTGGCCCCTCTTAGACATTACAGTTTTACAGTTACATTGGGTTGTCCAGAAAGTCATGACGTGTTTTTCTATGCACAAATGCATCATGACTTCCCTGACAACCCAATATATTGTTCATTTCAATAGAAATGAAATCTATTCCATTTGAATTATAAATCTACATTTATTTGGTATTGACAGAGACAGAGACATTTAGAGGAAAAAGGCAGAGTCCAGAAATAGGCCCAAGTGGGTGCTGTGACTTAGCATGTAATAAAGGGATTTGTAGTGGCCAGTAGATGGCGTAGTAGTTATGTCATTGAGCTCCCACTTGGCTGACTGTGGTTCGAGTCCTGAACCCAGTGGCTTGAAACTCATGCTTGACGTATGTGCGTGCATGGCTAAGATCCTGGGAGGAGAATGGAGAAGGGATCGCAGTGTGGCCAGGAGATGATTTCTTCCTTCCTATTTCTCTTTTTCTTCCTCCCTCCCCCCTCCCTCCCTCCCTCCCTCTCACTCTCCCTCCCACTCTTTCTCTCTCTCTCTGGTGAGCACATGCACCCTATGGCAAAAACCCTCTAGGAAAAAGGGGGGAGATTTCAAAGAGTAAGATTAAAGGTAATTCAGTAAATGGTTTCTGCCCATTTCATAGGGAACAGGGGTAGATCCTTATCTCATGGCAGGCCTAAGGGAAACTTCAGGTTTTTAGAGGTTTTCACTATAGGGCGAGTGCGCTCGCCAGACATACAGAGAGAGACAGAGAGACAGACAGAAAGCGAGAAATCACCCCCCAGGGGGGATGGTCATGCCGCAATCCCTTCTCCTCCATTCTCCTCTCGGGATCTTGGGCATGCACGCACACGCACCCAGCGTGAGTTTTAAGCCACCGGGTCCAGGACAAGAACCGCGGTTGACTACGTGGGAGTCCAGCGACATAGCCATTATGCTAACTGCTGGTTCCCCCATAGCACATTTCTTATGAGCATGAACAATGAGACTATAAAGGAACTTAGTGTATGAGGTTGTTGTTTTTGTTTTTTGTTTTTTTTTTTTACAACCAGAAGATCGGTAGGCAAGGGGCCACAGGGTAAGTTCCCAAGACACACACTGCTCGCTGTGCCCAGGCCTTCACTCACACCACCTTTGCACTGGTTTATGTCACCGAGGGGGGGGTCTCTGGTCCATCACACTAACTGCCAGGGCACCTGAGTCAGGTGCTGCAGGGTCTGCAGGGCAGTAGCAAGCTGGCAGTATGGCTCGTCATGTGCCTTCCAGAGCATCATCCTCATAAGGTGTGGGCTCTGATGCCTCCCTTCTGGCTATACTCCACAGACTGCGCCAGAAGTGCACATTGTGCCCCTCGGTGGTTCTGTGTGGACTTAGAACATGCATGTAGTGGGAACACAGAAGCATTTAAAGCTGTTGTCAAACTTCATTTTAAAATTCAGAGTTGGACCAGCAGGTAATGTGGAAATTACAGCCTTGGATCCCACATGGCTGACTCTGCAGTTCATATCCCAGACCTGCCAGTTCGAAAAATACATCAGCCACTCGTGCATGCATTCCCGAAATCCCAAAGGAAAAATGGAGGAGAAAGGGATGTGGCATGGGCATCCCTCTTGGGGGCGGGTTTCTCAGTATCCCTATCTTTCTGTCTCCAGAGAGCACACATACCCTATGGCAAAAGTCTTTAAAAGAAAAATAATGATAAAGTAACAGTAAGCAGTTTGAAAAATACACCAGGCATTTGTGTGCTTGCCTGAAATCCTGATAGGGGGTAGAGGTGGAACAGAAAGGATCGTGGCATGACCATACCTTATTGGGGTTGCTATCTTCTCTGTCTCTGGAAAATGCAAGAGCTTTTTGGCAACTTTTTTGAAAAATTAAATTAAGAGGGGCCAACAGGTAGTGTGGTAATTAAGGCACTGAACTCCCACGTGACCAACACTGTTCGAGTCCTGGACCTGGCAGCTTACTTTCTTTCTCTCTCTCGCTCTAGCTCTCACTCTCACTGTCTCTCTGGTTAGCACACATTTCCTATATACAAACTAAAATAGTAATAAACTTTAAAATTAAAATTCTGAGTATTAAACTCTGTCTGAATTTTCTAATCTTCTGGTGACAATGATGTCTTACATAAAGTGAAATACAAGAGGTCTAAAGGTTGGGCTTTTGGAGTGGCGTCTAAGAGCTGAAAGCTCGCAAACAGCACTTTGTGTTACAGTCCATGCAAAGCCATGCTGCAGTGTTCCGTGTGGGAAGCGTGTTGCAAGAGGGCTGTGAGAGAATCAGCCAGCTCTATGGAGACCTGAAGCACCTGAGGACGTTTGACAGGGGTGAGCAGAAGCATTGGCCGATTGGCCAGGGGCTGCCTTCTGCAGGGTGGGCTGCCATCTGTCCTGCTTGCTCTTGCATGAAATGAGCCTTCTGTGGCAGTACAACTGTGGCCAGTAGCTGTGTGTTAGTGAGCCACAACATAACCTGGAGTGGCGTGTGACGGGATCTTGTGTGTTCCCAGGAATGGTGTGGAACACGGATTTGGTGGAGACCCTAGAGCTGCAGAACCTGATGCTGTGCGCACTCCAGACCATCTATGGGGCAGAGGCACGGAAGGAGTCACGAGGCGCTCACGCCAGGGAAGACTACAAGGTGCGCCTTGCCCTCTGCCCTGAGTGCTCCTGGTGGCTTCTCTTACCTGGTGTTGCCCACTTCCCACATGTGTCTCTGCTGTTTCACTCCATTTCACAGAAGAATAAGGACGAAGTGGGGGGTTTTTCCCAATAATTTTCATACCTTTGTTCTGTCTTCACCGGTGTGACCTTTCTGGCTTTGGAAGGAGACGGTGCAGTGCAGCATGTAAGCAGAATGCACCTTACTCTCACTGAGGCCACGGTTAGATGTGCAGCTGGAATGCCAGGGCTAGGAAATGCAGCTGTGTTTATTGAATCACAGCCACAGGCCCTGTCCTCGTTTCAGACCTGCCTGTGGTTTGGGAAGGTATTGTAGAGCCTGATCTTAGGGCCTCTACTCTCAACAAATTGGTTGAGTACACATGTCAGATTCTGCAGAAGAGAATATTTGGCGAATAAAAGTGAAACCCACAGAGAAGGGTGTTTGGAGTGTAGATATAAGCTCAGGGCAAACTGTTCGACGAAGGGGGTAAGACAGACACAGGCTTGGTCCTGGACCATAGTGCTGTGGGGCAAAACTCTACAGATCCCTGAACAAGGGCAGCACAGGAAAAATCGGGTTTTTCCTTGATATTTCACTATTCACTAATCGGGGCTGGATTGCACTTGCCCTGCTCCTGGTTTGAGGGAAGGGGTGGTGACCATGTCCCTAGCATGTACTGCCTGACAGGAAGTGTCACTCTCGGTTGCAACAGGTGACTGAGTTTGTTCCATTGTTGTATAATTAGGGAATGTGTTGACCCTGTTTATCTCCACTTACCTATCCCTCTGCCCATCCCTCACATACCCTTTCAGCAGAAGTGGCCATGTATGTGAATCTTTTTATTTGAAGAAGCCCTTATGTTTTAACTTAGAAGATTTAACTTAGTAGCATTCACTTCCTTTCTTGAGTTTTTGAAATGTATAATAAATTAGAACATTTTTAAAAAGGCTAAAGGGACCAGCAGTTAGCGTTATGGCTATGTCGTTGGACTCCCACGTAGTCGACCGCGGTTCGAGTCCCAGACCCGGTGGCTTAAACTCACGCCGGGCGCGTGTGCGTGCGTGCCCAGGATCCCGCGAGGAGAATGGAGGAGAAGCAATTGTGGCGTGGCCATCCCCCCTGGAGGGTGATTTCCTGCTTTCTGTCTCTCTGTTTCTCTCTGTCTGTCTGCTGAGTGCATGCGCCCTATAGCAAAAATCTCTCCAAAAAAAGGCTAAAAAGGCTTAGGCAGTCTCTCAGGGTGCGGGTCAATTTTTAGGGTGCGTGTAGGATGTCTGATTTGAACACAGACTCTCCAGGAGTTTAGAGAGAGTGCAGGCGGGAGCGGCATGCTCCACTCAGCTCGCGGACCCTGGGAGTTTAGAGAGTGTGCAGGCGGGAATAGCATGCCCCATTCGGCCTGTGGACCACGGGAGCTTAGCGCGTGGACTGGCGGGAATGTCACACTCAGGCTCAGCTGCTGGCCGCAGCCCACTGATGAGCGCATGGGCTCTGGGGGTCCTGACCTTGCCACAGTGTTGACTCGGGCTGCAGTGGTAGGGCATGTGGGCGTGGTCCTGTGCGCCGTTTCCTCGCTTGCCTTGTTCTCTGATTATATGGATCTGGGAGTGACAGGAAGTTCGACTGCATTTCTTCTGCAGGTGCGGATTGACGAGTACGATTACTCCAAGCCCCTTCAGGGGCAGCAGAAGAGGCCATTTGCAGAGCACTGGAGGAAGCACACCCTATCTTACGTTGATGTCGCGACAGGGAAGGTATGTGGGAGCTGGCACCTGGGCTGTCCTGCCATTCTGCAGTTGGCCTTGGTGGTTTGAGGCATCACTAAGGAGGCGCTGCGTTCGTCAGAGCCTGCAGGTGGTTCAGAGGAGCAGTCAGCTCCCACGTAGTAACAGGAGGAAGGGCCCTGGGCAGGGGCACAGATGTTGGAGGCTTGGTGACAAAGTTGGTGTTGATTCTGGGGGCGCACAGGAGGGTGCCCTGGAAACAGCCAGCCGAGATGGCAGGAGAGCTTGCACTCTTCCCGGTGAAGCAACTGTGTCTGCGTGCCGTTTCTGCTGCATGTTGAACATGAGAAAACCGAGAGGTGAAGCTTTACCCGTGAGCTTTTTCCCATTTGTAGATGATCTTACAGTCATTTCTCTGGGTCTGCAGAGGCTCACCCTGCAGTGGTCACTCACAGAGGGCGCCTGCCTGTCTGACTCGGGCTGTTGTCATCTTCAGAGTTATCGGGAGAGCTACTTTCTCACGGCATATAGACTGTGCTGCTTTTAGCACAAGTCTGCTCTTAATAGTGTATTGGGATTTTTACTAAAAAAATTCATGCTCATCTTAGAAAATACAGAAAGTGTGAAAAGAATAAAAACACTTTTTGTAGTTTTGTCATACTTATTTATAAGCCCATCCGTTCAAGATGATCACCCCTGACATTTGAAACTTTCCCTTCAATCTGTGTGTGCATGCATGTGCAGCACCTGTGTGGTACAGATGCATAACACATAGTTTTTTTGTTTTGGGGGGTTTTTTTGGAGAGGTTTTTGCTATAGGGCACGTGTGCTCACCAGAAAGACAGAGACAGAAAGCAAGAAATCACCCCCTGGGAGGGATGGCCATGCTGCAATCCCTTCTCCTCCATTCTCCTCTCAGGATCTTGGGCACGCACGCACACGCACCCAGTGTGAGTTTAAGCCACCATGCCTGGGACTTGAACCTCGGTTGACTACATGGGAGTCCAGCAACATAGCCATTACGCTAACTGCTGGTCCAGCATAGCACATAGTTTAAACAGCGTGATGGTCTGTGCAGGGCTTACCTGCTCATGATGGAAGCATCTTTGTCAAGTATTAAGAATCTTGTTTGGTGCTATTTAATTGGTCCAGCACTCTGGATTTATTGTAATTTCTGTATCTAGACCCTGCTGTGCTCTTATATCACTTGTAGGGTTTTGTTTTTTGTTTTGTTTTGAGGGGGCTTTTTTTGCTGTAGGACGTGTGCACTCGCCAAAAAGAGAGACAGAAAGTGAGAGAAGTCAATCCCAAGGGGGGATGGCCACACCATAATCCCTTCTTCTCCATTCTTTCGGGATCTTGGGCACGCACGCACACATGCCTGGCATGAGTTTAAGCCACTGGGTCCAGGATTCAAACTGCGGTCGACTACATGGGAGTCCAGTGACATAGTCATTATGCCATCTGCTGGTCCCAAGTTGTTTTTTCTAACTTCACCAGAGAGCATACGTGCTTGACAGTAGAGGGAGAAAGCAAGCTGCATGGAGAATGGTCACACTGCAGTGCCTTCTCCAACTCTCTGTCTTGGCACGGTTCTGGATGCACATGTACATGTACCTGGCATGTTCCTCAAGCTTACTGGGTCTAGGGCTCCAGCCGCAGGGTCAGCCATGGGAGAGAGAACCACCATAACTACCAGGCCACAGAACTGCCCCATTTTTTAATTTTTTAAGTTTATTACTGTTATTTTTAAATTTGCTATAGGGCACATACAATCACCAAAGAGTGAGAGAGAGACAGAGACAAAGTCAGAAAACAAGGTCTAGAACTTGAACCATGGTTGGTCATGTGGAAATTCAGCGCCTTAACCATCATGTCACCCCGCTGGTCCCACCAGCCCCACTTTGAATTTTTATTGAAAGACACTTCAAGGAATATCTTTGTCATTAAGTTCTCATACCTGTGAATTTACTTCTATAGCTGAGTTTTTCGAAGCCATCATTAAGAGAGGGCTATTTGTGCTCTAACTTACCACTCCCTCTTCTGTTCAAGGTCACTCTGGAATACCGACCTGTGATCGACAGAACCTTGAATGAGGCCGACTGTGCCACCGTTCCCCCTGCTATTCGCTCCTACTGATGAGGCCAGTGGGGTCAGAACCTGCTGTTGTAATTATGTATGATAGCTTATGCATGTTGTTCATATCACAGTTGTCCACACAGTTCTATATTCAAGTGAAGAAGGGGGACATCCGAATAGAGATTGACCCCGTCGCCAGCAGCTTGCCAGCAACTCAGCAGCCAGGAACTACCACACTGACTTTGTCCCTTGCTTCGTTCTTGTGAAATGATAAAACTGGGCACGATTGTTAAATAAAGCATAAATGAACAAGCGTCTTAAGTTTTCAGATCCACTTAAAGTAGTGTACTGTTTGACTTTAGACCTTTTGTTGACCTGAAATATCAAATATAATTATATTTTCATTGTGTCACTTCAAAATCCAAAAACTTTGTTGCAGTTTTTAAATTTTTTTTTAATTGCCAGAGGGTGCATGCACTTGTAAGCGAGAGACAGAGATGGAGAAAGTGATGTATGCCCAGTAAAGTGTGGTCGTTCTGCAGACCCTTCGTGTGCATTTTTTCATTCTGTTAGATTTTGGGTGCACAGGCACTTGTGCCTGGTGTTTCCAAGCTTCTGAGGCAGGACTGGAATCCCAGTCAGCCGCGAGATTTGGCTGCCATAATCACTAGACTGTGGGGCTGGGGCTATAGTTTATTTTAAAATAAAAATGAATCATGGTGTCTGACAAGGAATGAAGAAAAGTGACATTTCTGGGCCAACTAGTAGCATGTGGCTGCTTGAGCAGTTCAAACCCTGGGCCCAGCGGTTTGAGAAATAGGCCTGGTGCAGCCTGAGCCCCCAATCGTGGGGACTGTCACCCCATATCAGGTCCTCATTGAGTACCTGTGCCTTCTGGCAAATTTAAACATAAAATTGACATTTCCTCTTGTTCTTGTCAGAGGTTTAATAGGTGAAAGCGTGTCCTGTAGTATTTAATAACTGTTAATTAAAGCTGATGTGGAAGTATAATAATTTGCTTTTCTCTTTTAGGGATTTTTTTTTTTTTTTTTTTTTTTTTTTAGAGATTTTTGCTATAGGGCAGGTGTACTCTCCAGAGAGACAGACTGAAAGTGAGAAATTACAGTCCAGGGGGGATGGCCATACTGCAATCACTTCTCCTCCATTGGCCTCTCAGGATTTGGGGCATGCATGCACACTCACAGCATGAGTTTCAAGATGCCAGTTCTGTCATCTTGGCTCGAATTGCAGTTGACTATGTGGGAGTCCAGTCCAACGACATTACCATTACACCATCTGCTGGCCCCTAGGCTGTTCTTTTCATAGAACTTTTTAAACAATGTACCCATTCTCCAAAATTTGTCATTACAACATAATATTATAAATTTTTTCCCTAAAGGTAGACTTTCTGGTAAAACTTTCATCAAGCAAGTAAGCATTGCATTACTTTTGCATTTGAAGACTATGGCCATTGCAGGACATTGGAGATGGGAATGTCCTTTGTGCCCTCAGAGACATGAAGTTTAGGGACAGACTGAATGTATTTTCCCTGTGCCTGATGTCCAGCAGCAGTCATGTCATTTAGGTGTTAAACTCCCTATTCCTCACGCCAGGCACTGCTCTAGACTTTTGAGAAGGTTAGGCCGTAATGCACATTGACATCAAACCAGTAGGTTCAACTGTGGAGTCCGCTGGCAGATGCTGCTGCACGGCAGGCTGAAGCCATGTTGGTGTCCTAGGTTAAATTCCTGGCCTGCCCTGTGCAAGCTGGGTATGCTAGCACACCCAAGGTTCTTTGGGACTTAAAGAGACCCTGTCAGGAAACTTGATAGCTCGCTCACTCTCATTAATAAAAAGAAAAATCTTGGGACCAGCAGATGGCGTAATGGTTATGTTGCTGGAGTCCCATGTAGTCGACCATAGCTTGAGTCCCAGACCCGGTGGCTTAAACTCACACCAAGGGTGGGGTGGGGACAGAGGACAAGCAGATGGCCATAGTGTTTATATTGCTGTACTCTCACATGGCCAACCATGTAGAGTCCCGGACTCAGCTTGAAACTCATGCCAGGCACATGTGCTTACGTGCCCAAAATCCCAAGAGGAATTATGGAGGAAAACAGATTGCACCGTGGTTACATGCCTCCCTCCAACCAGGGGAGGAGGGTGATTTCTTACTTTCTGTCTCTGACAAGCACACGCACCCTATAGCAAAAATCTCTCTAAAAAATAAAAAATATCGGGACCAGCAATTAGTGTAATGGTTATGTTCCTGGACTCCCATGTAGTCGACTGCAGTTTGAGTTCCGGACCTGGGGGCTTAAACTCATGCCAGGCGCATGTGCGTGTGTGCCCAAGATCCTGAGAGGAGAATGGAGGAAAAGGGATTGTGGCATGGCCACTCCCCCCCCCTGGGGGGGGGAGTGATTTCTCACTTTCTGTCTCTCTGTCTCTGTCTTTTCAGCAAGTGCACTTGCCCCATAGCAAAGACCTCTCAAAAAAATAAAATTGAATTAAAAAAAATAACACAAAATATCTTTTTTTTTTTTCAAACTCACTGGGTGCATGTACATGTGTGCCCAGAATCCTGAGAGGTGATTGGAGAAGGGATTGTGGCTTGGCCATTCTGGAGGTGATTTCTTCCTCTCGTCTGTCTCTTCAGTGAGCACATGTACCCTATAGCAAAAATCTCTAAAGGGAAAAAAAGAAAAATCTTGGAATAGAATTGAAGGCACTTGATGGTCAGGTAGAAAAGTCTGGATGTGGTAAATACAGAGCCAGTTTCTGGCTAGTAGAACTCTGCCTAGCCTCTGAAATGATGGGGAGAGTTTTGAGTCAGTTATCTTTACATTTAGTTTAGTTTTTTGTTTGTTTGTTTTTGTTTTTTGAGGTTTTTGCCATAGGGCACATGTGCTCAACAGATAAAGAGAGAAATCACCCACCAGAGGATGGCCATGGCACAATCCCTTCTCCTCCAATCACCTCTCAGGATTCTGGGCACACATATACACATGCCTGTGATTTTCAAGCTCCCAGGTCTGGGACTCTCAGCCAGGTGGGTGTCCAGCACCCTAAACCCATGCCACCTCCTACGTCAAGAGATTTCTTTAAATCTAATGTCCTTGTTGGCAGTAAATAACTAGAGACAGCACACCACAGCGGCACCCAGCGTGGGAAGGAGCATTAATCTCAAGGTCATACCAGGTACAGAGGAGCTGCCGTTGGCAAGTTAGCAGTGAAAAGAAAGCAGGTGGGAGGCTCCCTGCAGAGGGTTGTAACGGGGCTTACAGGGGCTGAGGGAACTGTGGTGGCGAATATGTTCATTAGCTTCTAGGTATACTTCAGAACTTTAAAAATGCTCTCCCAGATGGGAAAAGAGACTTAACTGAGATTAAATCCATCATGTGTATGATTGGCAAACACAGGATTTTGCTGTCATACTTTTCTTTGTAAAGTTGTAGGACCTGGAACTTGTATACCTTGCTGGTGGGATGTACAGTGTTAACTCCTAGGGAGGAGCATTTGGCAATATCTAGTAGAGCCACGAGCATATTATCCCTTGACCCAGCAGTTCTAGGATTCCACCTCAGAAACTGACTGGGCCAGCCAGGTGGTGTAATGGTTAAAGCAGCTGAATCCTATGTGACTGAGTGCAGTTCAAGTCCTAAATCTGGTGACTTGAAAGCACACCTAGTGTGTGTGTGTGTGTGTATGCATGCGTGCGCACGCGCAAGCCCAAAATCCAGAGAGGAGAATGGAGGAAAAGGGATTGTAGCAGGTGATTTCTCTTTCTCTCTCTCTACTCTCCCCTCCCCCATAAGCAAACACTTTATAGCAAACCAAAAAAATTTTTTTCAAATAGGTTAAAAATAAATAACACAAAACTACAGCGACCTAATGACAGAGCTATTCATTGTGCCATTTGTAATACTGGAAACAACACAAGTGTCCTCAGGAGTGAGGTGTGTTCATCCACACAGTGAGGACTGCTAGTTCATGATGATGGTTTAAAAATCCAAAACCCAACTAGACGTTTCACTGGTTGCTTCTAGAGGTAAGTGGAGTACTAACTTGTAACACTGAAAACGGACAGTTAGGGAAAATAAGTGACTATCTTGCCTTTTCTCTACGGATTGCAATCTTATTTTGTTTTTAATTTGTTATAGGGTATGTGTGCTCATTGGAGACAGGCAAAAAGTAAGAAAGCATCCCTGGGCGGATGGCCATGCTGCAATCCCTTCTCCATTCTCAAGATTTGGGGTGCACACTCACACACGCCCAGCATGTTTTTCAAGCTAGGTCTGGGACTTGAACCACGAAGTTGGTCATGAGTTCCAGCCACCTTGGCCACCATGCCACCTGCTGGCCCTAAGGAAAATTCTTTACAAAAGAAGTAAAAAAGTGAGGAATGACAAAATGTATAAATTACCATTTTGTGGCCCCTCACACAGACCTGCCTTTGCCCCAGAATCACCTGAAGGTGCCCTGCCCCAGGACTTGAGTCAGTAAGTCTTGGCTGGCCCATGGATTTGCATTTTTATCACATCCAGGGACCACATTCTGAAAATCTTTGTGAATGACTGGTCCCACAGCCTGGAAGGAACGTTAACAGAGGAAAGGAGTTCTGGTAACCTCAGGCAGCTTCATCCTAGCCAGGTGATTGATGAGGCGTAGCAGAGGATTCTGGAAGTGGTAGCATGGGTATCAGCACTGAAGTGTTACGGTGATGAAAGACACTAGTACAGATACCCTGAAGCATGGTAGGGACAACAGAAGGACTGTCCTTGTGTCTGACCACTAAGGTCACACACCTAACCTTCAAGCTGTTTTCATAAATATTCTAAGACCAAAGACTGCTGAGGAGCAGGTAATATGAGAAGGTAAAAATTTTTTTTAATAACTTTTTTTGAACACTTTGTTCAGTTTATTCAGAAAACATTGGCAAAATAAATTTAAGTTGCAAATTCACAGATACAAGCTTCAGAGTATAAAGTTGTATGCATCAAAAATACAGGTGACAGGGAACCAGCAGTTAGCGTAATGGCTATGTCGCTGGACGTCGACCGCGGTTCACGTCCCGGACCCGGTGGCTTAAAACTCACGCCGGGCGCATATGCGTGTGTGCCCAAGATCCCGAGAGGAGAATGGAGGAGAAGGGATTGCGGTGTGACCATCCCCCCTGGGGGGGTGATTTCTCGCTTTCTGTCTCTGTGTCTCTCTGTCTTTCTGGCGAGTGCTCGCGCCCTATAGTGAAAACCTCTCAAAAAAAAAAAAATTACAGGTGACATAACAACATACAAACTAGTGGTAAACTATTGGGTTGTAGAGAAAAGTCATTGAATTTTTTTTATACAAAAAATGTGTCATGACTTTCACGACAACCCAATACAATTTCACAAAAGATTGTAAGATTTTGCACTCAATTACAGTGAGCCAGGGAGCAGAATAGTTTATATTGGGGAGTGTTTTGTAAATACAAGTTTCGTTATTTCAGAATAAACTCACAGGCTTAAAAAAAAATGAACTCATGGGTTAGAAGAGGTAAACCAGAAAAAAGAAAAGTAAAGGTAAACCAGAGAGGTAAATATTTAGTATAACAAAGATGTGAGTGATTTCTAATAAAGATTAAACAGCAGAAAGTTAGAATACATAGTAAAATACTCAGATCGGCACTGCAGAGGCAATGAGGTTACTTAGATTTAAATTAAAATTACATGGAAGTTAAAGTTCATTCCCCAGTCACCGGGGCCCGCTTCAGAGAGCAATTCCATTCCTGCCGAAGGTCTGTGACCAGCGCTGACAACACTCGTGGTCACCATCTTACACTGAACAGCCTGTGTTTGGTAAATTGACCCCTGCTCTGCTCAGAAAGAAGGGAAATAAGTGGCAGGTCATTCTTCATGCTTAATTCGACAGGACATGGGAAAATGGGGCCACAGGAAAAAGTGTCCTTGTCATCTGGAGGGGGGGCGCCTCTCCTTAGGACTGTGTGGCCTGAGGCGGTAAACGACCGAAAGGGCGTGCTGCTCGCGCACCAAGCTGGCCGGCCACTGAACAGTAGTGAGGGCTTGCACACGAGGACCAGGTGAATGGGCCACACGGAGACGGTGGGGACGTTCGCACCCACAAAGCTAGCGTGTAGGACAAGTCAGACGAAAACCCGCTTCCAAGCTGGCTCAGAGAAAGCGGAACAGGGAAAGGCCGGCCGGACACTGGGACGCGTGGCGGTCTGCCGTCGATGGGGGGAGGAAAGCTCCCTTAGCTTCACTTCGCCCCTCCTGGAAAGCGCGGGCGGACCTGGCAGGGACCTGACCCGCGGGGGGCGAGGAGGCCAGCCCCCCGTGCTCGGGAGGGCGGTCTTTCCAGGCCGCGGCTGTGCCTGCGCTGCGGCGGCCCCGCTCGGGCACAGCGTCCGCAGGGAGGCGCTCTCGGTCGCGGGCCTGGGTCGGAGAGAAGCCTCGGGCCCGCGGCTCCTGCGCTCGGCGCCACCAGCGCTCGGCGTTGCCCGGCAACCGGGACGCGACGGGATAAGCCGCGCGCGGCGCTGTGGGGTCCCGGCCACGCACTTCCTGAGCTCCCGGAAGTGGCGTTAGGCCCGCCCCCGGCAGAGGCGGAAGTGGGCCTCCGGGAGCCGCCCGCGGCGGCGCC